AAGATTTCAGCCTTCTAGCTTCTTAGATCCCCGAGTTATGAATTTGCGTGGGAAAAACTTTGGGGGCCCGTACGTGGGTACCACGCTTACTCGGGGGGTGGATTTGAGCTCATTAGCACCTGACTGGACGGGGAACATTCCCCTAAAATTTCAGCTTTCTAGCATCTCAGAATCCTGAGTTATGAATTTGCGCGGGAAAAATTTTGGCGTGCTCGTACGGGGTACCAAGCGGGTCTTGGCGCCAATTTTGGGCATGGGAGCCCGTACGCGCATGTAGATTATGTCCCCAAAGTTTCAGCCTTGTAGCTTTTGCCGGTCTCGAGATGAAAAATCGGTACAGACGAACACACAGACGCACAGACACGCAGACACACAAACACAGACAACCTCTCGTCAATATGCGTTTTCTGCATTGCATAGCTGCAAAAAACGCATAAAAACTCAAGAATTATTTTGAGATGAATTTTCAATGAACTGTACTCAAAAAATACATGCCATAGAAAAATCTCCCGCGGCGCAGACGCTGAGTTGCTCGGAATACTGCACTGAGCCACAGTCAGTAAGTTTGTGGCGACAATCGTCCCAGCGACCGAAGCACAAATCGACACCTCCAACAAATGCTATTAGCTGATCGATAATCACAAGCTTCTCGTGATGAGCCCAAAAAAATGTGCCCGACGAGAGATAATGGTCCGGATGACGAAGCACCTGAAGCAATTTAAAGCCATCACATTCATCTCGAACAATAAAACGAAAACCAATAAAAGTGTGCACCAGGAGTTTACGAAAAACACGCCTTTTTCGTACAGTTCTGCTCACTGAGACCAGTTCTCCATGTTAAGATCACGTTTCCAAAGTCTAGCTTTTCAATTTGTTTGAGGCGTAGTTTAAAAATGCGTGGTTCATCATACACAGTCAAAGAATTGCCAATTATAGGTCTTTACATTTGCATTAGTAAAAATGCAAAAATATAAAAAATATTTAAAAAATAATTCTAAGAGATACCTTAATATTTTTATGAAGTTTCTGCAATGTCTTCTTTGTATAAATGCTGTTTATTCCAAGCGCCATTTCCATCTCTTTATACAGCAAAACGAATATCCTGACGCCTTGCTCTGCCTTCCTCTAAAACTATCAATACGAAAAATTTAAAAAAAAAAAAGCAGTTACGAAGAAATTTCGACCCGTAGTGAAAGAAGAGGTCAAAACGCAGTCAGTGTTTCATCCCTTAGCTCATCTTTCAGCTCATTATTTTCATCCTCAATTATAAACTAATTTCAACCCCATACGCCCTACAAAAAATTGTAAAAATTTTCAGGCGCGCTTTTTTAACAAGCGAACGAGGAAATCAAGCCCGTACAGCAAAGCACAGCACTAAACGTGACGGCGCCAAAGACCTGCTAAAAGTAACTGAGATAGAGAATTTAAATGGGCTGTAATAAGTGGACAGTAGCTGAAGCAATTGAACACCTCACGTTAGTGATTTTCTCGAGAAGTCCCTACACATCCGGTGCAGCCCTGCAACAGCCCAAATCTTCTAACAAACAAACAAAAAAAAGATACCAGTACTCTATCAAAGATTCTACACATGAGCAAAAATCGTGAAATTATTTAGTAACTTATCAAAAAAGTAGTAATAGAAAAATCACAACTTTAACGACAACTGGATTTTTTTTTAAAATACCGAGGAACATAAAAACAAACACAAATGACTAATAGTTTGAAAACAAAAGAAAAACGACAGATAAACATACGAACTCCCAACGTACCTTTAGGATCTCGTCAAGTCTCCAGCGATTGCCCTCCACAGGTGGTCGTTTCATAAAAATCTCAGGTGACAGCCACCAGTCGGCAATGAAAATTTCTTCACATGCTAATTCCATCATGTTAGCTGCATGCTCCATGAATGCTCGTCCATCCACAAACCTAAAAAAATAAGTAACTATCTGGCGGCAACAAACAAGT